AATATTCCTTTTGACCTTCAGGATATCAAATATAAAAATTATTTCTCAATTTGGTTAATCGAGGCAGCATAGAATCATTTGTAAAGTACTGCTGGAGGCACTTCCCTGGAGAGCGACGTCAGAAAAGCAGCTTTCAAAATCTTTGCTCACGCATCTTCAGCGCCTATCAAAGCTATGCACGCACATGCTATTTTTTTTAAAAGGCAGAAAAAGGTGTCACGGCTGGTGCGAGTACGGGAGAGTATACCTAGAAAACTTGCGATTGGACGCGCGGCCTTTAAGCGACACACACTTGTCGGCCGAAAGGTCTTCTTACGATGTCACTATTGGTAGGATGTTTTTTCGTGCTTTCTCACGTTTAGTTATATCTTTGTGGAAAACAAACGGGATATTTTGATTCGCGGGATAAAACTACGCTAGAATGAACCTCCATCTAGTTTTCTGAAAGAAGTCTCGCACTTCTCTGTAATAAGCCGACTCATAATTACAAATTAGCCCTTTATAGTATGCCGCCCAGGCCATATAACTCACGTGCACAGACCGCGTAAATGTAGATTTACAGCGTTTTTTAAAAAACATCTGCAAAACATACAAAAAAACACCCTGTAGAATGTCCCCCAATACGATACGATTGTATGGTTCCTTCCCCGCTTGCATCGTTTAAGAAGGACTTGTGGACATCCAGCCTTTCATTGGAATGCTGGATGTCAGCGAGTTCTACACCAGTGAGTGGTTTCAAACAAGCATGATGTTTGCACACCACAAAGCTCTTATCCGAGGCCCTCCAGGAGCACTAAAAGCAGAGGTGAAGTGTAGTGACCTGGTAAATTTGGTTGCAGGTATTTATTTTTAGAAGAATCGCATGCAGCAAAGTTTAAGTTTGCTCAAAAGAAGATAATTATAAATTCAATACTGAACAATGGTGTCCCTTGAGCTGTCAGACCGAACTCCCACTCTTGCCAGTCAGGAGTTCCTAACTTGTGCATAGAGGATCAGCACAACCCAGATTTGTGCTGCGAGCGCACCTGCAATATAAAAGTTGAATAAACATGATTAAAAATGAGACGTTTACAATTCTCTGTAATGTGAAATTAAAGCACAGATCTTGAAAAAGAGGATGGCAGGGTATGCCCCTCCTCCCCCTCCCCTCCTCCTCTTCTGCTCCTTTCCATTTAGCCAAAAATTTTCCTTTAATTTAGCGGGAAAATGTCCCCACTAAATTTAGCGGGTTAAGTTTCCCACTAAATTTATCGCGGAAATCCATGTCTCATGGACCTCAACACCAATGCAGTTTTCCCGCTAAAAGTAGCGGGGAAAATGACGTCGCATGACCGTGTCACGTCATCCATAAAAAAAAAAATAAGTTTCTCATCACTCTAAGAAAAAAGTTGGCCTCAACGAACTAACGGCAGCATTTGGTCCTCTGAACTCCCAGTTGCTCCCCAAAAGGACCATCTGGCTTAAGCTAGGTAGCGTGCGCGAAAGCTGGGGACTAACTGCGCTCGACTGGGACCAACCGATAGGCGTGAGGGAGCAAAAGCATCCTTTAGTCCCCCTCATACGGGGTGCATCTGTATGATTTAGTCCCCGAAGGCAAACGGAATGTTCGCCAGGAGGACGGATGCTATTTCGCTTGTCTTGGGGATCGGCGAGACTCAGCCCAGCACGGCTGAAAGTGTTGACAAAACTCGGACGAAACTGGCGAATTTGTTTAACGTGCCACGAACGTTAAGACATTACATGGTAGAGCTTCACGCGTTGTGTGAATGCGAGTGAACGAATGTGTTCACTCGACTTCACCCAACTATCTCGTCAAAAAGAATCTGTTGACATTCCACAAGTTCCATTTACGTAATTTGCCTCCGCGCAAAAAATGTGCATTTATCCAAACGCAACGCCTCCAAATACTAACACTCTTTTTCTTTTTAAAATTAAACTTAACGGTTTGTAGAAGCCACGCTTTTAACACTGGAATCTCGCAGTCAGAATAAATGGTCACTTCAATCGCTAAAACTGAGCATTCCCACCGGCGATATAAGCAGTAGCGCGATGCGACTAGATCGCATCGCAAAAAAAATTAGATGGTCACACCGGCGTGTGCGATGAGCGAGTCCAACGCCTTCGTTGGCGAGTCGTTTGTCGAAAACTCTCGCTCCGAACGCCGTTGATTGGCTCAGCCGCCACGCGACAAGATCGCATCGCAAAAAAGTCGGGTCTAGAAGCGACTGCTCAAATCGCGTCGCTTTTTGCCCGCGATAGAAACACGTCGCCCTGAAACCGTCAGGCAACAACAGCAACAACAACATGGCGGGACAGCCTAAACAATCAAATGCGAAAACGATAATATGGCAGTGGATTTGTCGATCATTCAAGAAAAAACAAGGGCTACTTAGACAATATATACAGCACTATCAAAAACCGCCGGACGTGATCGCGCTGCAAGAAACTGGAACCACTCCCGTTCTCACAGGGTACAACACTTACACAACACCAGGAAGATCGCAGATAGCCACCCTAGTAAGTAAATCTCTCACAGTCCTCCAACACGACCTTCTGGACACAGGAATTACCGCGATACTCATAGAAATCCTAGCGCTACGAAGAGGCGCACTCAGCACCTTCGTATTAAACATCTATAGCTCGCCCGCCGACCGCTACGCCAGATTCGACGCCCTCTTCAACTGGGCCCTCAAAACGGCGAAAGGCCGGTTCATCATAGTCGGAGACTTTAATGCTCCTCACCCGGCATGGGGCTATGAAAAATCACAACCGAAAGGAGCTAAGCTGCACGACACTATCAATCAAAACAGGCTTACGATCTTGACAGACCCCAGTCAACCCACGCGGATAGGCAACAGCGTATCACGGGACACGTGCCCTGACCTCACGCTCACCTCCCGAATGCCATTGGCCGAATGGGACAACTTAGAAGAAACACTAGGTAGCGACCACTGTATCATATCTACCACAATACCCAGCGGAAAACACAGAAAGACTCTCCAAACGATAGCACTTACGGATTGAACAGCGTTTAGAAGTGCGCGAGAAAACCACGAACAGGCACCAATACGCGACTTGGATCAATGGGTGCGTACGCTAGAACACGACATCGACCAACACACCAAACGGATCACGCTCACGGACCAAACACCCGTGGTCGACGCACGTCTACTACACATGTGGGACGCCAGGCGCGGTCTCATCAAACGGTGGCGCCGACAGAAGCTCAACCGGAAACTACAATTTCGAATAGCCAACCTCACCGCTGAAGCGGCAGAATACGCGGAGGAGCTCACTCGTAGCAACTGGGTACAAACGTGCAACATGATTCAAAGCACGCTTTGCACAGCAAAAACATGGAGCCTCCTGAAACACCTACTCGACCCCATGAAAAGCAAAGCAGCCTCCCAACATACCGGGCGGAAGATCATACACCAGTACAACGGAACCGACGCCCGATTACTCGAGGAACTCAAGCGTACATACATACCAGGAACGAACCCCCCAGCGATCACAACTGAATACACAGGCACCGACAACCCCGAGCTGGACCGAGAGATAACACCGCAAGAAACCGCCAAAGCCATCCAAGAGCTCACCAGAAATACGACACCAGGGAGAGATAAGGTCCAGAATCGCCTGCTCAGAAACGTAGATGAACCCTCAATAATAGCCCTGACCGACTATATCAACTCTCACTGGGGACGGGGGGACGTACCCAAGGAGTGGAAGCACGCGGAGATAATACTAATACCCAAACCTGGCAAGCCTCTAAGCCTCAGCACATTAAGACCGATATCACTGACATCGTGCTTGGGTAAGCTATATGAACGCATTGTGCTCACTCACCTGCAGCCACACCTCGAGAGAGCAGGGGCTTACCCTCACACAATGTTTGGATTTAGAGCACACCTTTCAACAAAAGACGTCCTACTTCAACTGAAGGAGGAGCTGTTAGATACATTATCTACACACTCACCGCAAGCCATCTTAGCACTCGATCTCAAGAGAGCTTTTGATAACGTCGGCCACAAACTGATCCTAGAAAACCTCGCCCACACGAACGGCGGCGAACGGATATACAACTATGTTAGAAGCTACCTCAGCCATCGCATCGCCACAATCGGTATTGGGTCACTGCGTACCGACACCTTCGACACCCCGAACCAAGGAACACCCCAAGGGTCCGTCCTGTCGCCGACCCTATTCAATTTGGCCATGAACAAGCTCCCAGACAGACTCAATGCAATACCCGGCATACGCCACGCCATATACGCAGACGATCTTACTAGTTGGACAACCAGGGGCTCGCAAGGAGAAAAGCAGGAGGCACTCCAAAGCGCTCTGGAAGCTGTACAGGCATAGCGCAGCTCGGCAACCTAACAATCTCACCGACCAAATCCGAACTCATGATCTTACAGAAGGAAACACCCGGGCGCAGCAAACCCAGCATTCATATAGAACTATCTCTCGACGAACACAAGATACCCACAGTGGATAGCATGCGCATTCTGGGGCTCCACATGCAGAAGGATGGCGGTACCACAACGGCCATCGACCACCTCACGAGATCCACAGGTCAAGTGATCAGGATGTTGTGCAGAATCACCAACCGCCATCGAGTCTTGAAAGAGGAGGACGCACTCCGACTGGTCCGCGCACTGATTGTGAGCCGGGTCACGTACTCCATCCCATACCTACCCCTGAGACCGTCGGAAATAGAGAAGATCGACATACTACTCAGACGAACCTACAAAGTGGCACTAGGTCTCCCACCGACAACAGCTACCGAGAAGCTACACGCCACAGGAGTTACCAATACGACACGTGAACTTATCGAGGCCCACCTGACGGGACAACAGTATCGACTTCGGCGATCCGTTACCGGCAGACACCTGCTGTGCAAACTCGGATACCTAGGCCACACAGATGGTGACCCCACACTGCCCCTACCGGCAGCGATCTGCGACCTCATAGAAGTCGCACCGATACCGAAGAACATGCACCCTGAGCACCACAAAGGAAGACGCCAAGCCAGGGCAAGGGCACACGCCAGAATCTACGCAGACCACCCAGCGCTTAGATATACGGACGCCGCAGACGATACCCAGAAACAAGCAGCGGCTATCAGCGTGATCAATCAAGACCTCGAAACCGTCGTCACTGCGACAATCAAAACGAACCGACCAACAGAAGCCGAAGAGGCAGCCATCGCACTAGCCATCATCAACAGCGACCCATACACTACAATTATAACGGACTCCCAAACAGCGTGCCGAGCCTACCGGACGGGCTATGTATCTAAATCGGCGCACGTTCTACTCACGAAGCACCAAGATAAGCTCTCCCCGGTCAAATTGGTCTGGACCCCTGGACACGAGTCTGTACCCGGCAACCAGCGCGCCCGCGCTGTCGCTCGAGCAAATACCTTCCGAGCACAGGACTGCAGGCAAACAGAAGAGAGCAAGAGCGACGGACACCCACTGACCCAGTACGCGGAAATCACAGAGTACTATCGCCTAGAACGCCAAAAGCTCCCCCCGCCGCACAAGGAGCTCACACGAGAGGAGGCTGTTGTCTGGCGGCAACTACAAACCAACACATATCGACACCTAAGTCTACTTCACCGATGGTACCCCGAAGAATACAACAAAGAATGCCCGTTCTGCGGCACGTACGCCAACCTATACCACACTGTATGGGCATGCCAACGAAACCCCGATATTCCCCCTATCCCACACCCCACACCTTCCCAATGGGAGGCCGTGCTGCTCAGCTCCAGCCTGGATGACCAGCGTAAGCTGGTGGACCGGGCCCGCTCGGCAGCTAAGGCCACAGGAGCCCTGGACTAAGGGCCCCTCCCCCCCTTCAGAAAACTGAATAAATAAAGTTAATTCTCTCTCTCTTGCCCGCGATGGTCGCTTTTGCGATGAAAGTTATCGCGCGACTACATCGCATCGCCGATGGGAACGCGCCTCCGTCCCTGCGTGGCAAACCTTTCTGGGTAGTCCAATGTCGAACTCAAAATCCACAACGACACACTTGATGCACGGCACGTTCCACTTAAAGAGCACATTCAGGGGCAGTATCCAGACGCATTCATGCCATCGTCGTCGCTGTTTCCAAAACAATCCAGGTGAACAACGAAGAACGAATCACGCCCGGAACGTCACACCTGGCAGCACCCTACTAATGCAAAACAAATGCAAACTAAAAAAAAAGCAACTCGAGAAAGCTAAAAATTCTTAAGAGAGAGAGAGAGAGAAGAGAGAAAAAAAAGTGTTTGCTTGTACGTCACTCGACCGGCGTGTTGAAAGTGGCGACCTTCTCCCGTCCTTGGAGCTCTTCGGTGTCCTTGTGTAGTGAGTAGTGGGAGCGAGAAAAGAGATTATCTTCTGCGCGCACTGCCCCCTCCCCCCAATCCCCTACCCCGCAATCTTTGCTCATTGTACACGGGGGAGGGGGGGGGGGGGGGGGGCAGATGGGGTGCGTCGGGAAAATGGGAAGTGTCTTTGATTGAAAAGAACCTGTTTTTAGTAAGTTGAAAGTCGAAATACAGCCTTCGTCGGAGGCTGGTCGCCTTGTGTCGTCTCCGATCATGGCGGGATCCGGTTTGGATTCGCGGTACTGAAGCACTGCACTTGATATGTTCTGAAGTCACAAGTCAAGGGAACTCGATTAAGGTATGTCGAAGTGCTTCTGTTTATGGTGTATTTATTAACTGCGGCTTTAGAAAGTGTTTTATTTTGAGCGCGTTCTCTAGCTTGCAAAGCGCGCCTCATGCTCTATTCTTTTTGGCACCATGGTTGCTGATTTTGTTATGCAGCACAGAGACCTCGTATTCAATCGTATCGAGCGAAACCCCAGTTCTACCTATGGCTTATTTTTTGTGTGTATGTTTCGCAGACACACAAATGGTTAAGCAGGATCGCTTGACCATAAACGCCTGTCCACACATGCAGCGGAGCGCTACAGGCATAGCGCTGACCTTGCGCTAAGCGCGTGCTGACGGGATCGGTCACCAGCTTTTAATAGCACCGACAAAACTCTTGCTCATGGCAGACGAAAAGTAGCTCATTACACGTGAGCAGCGCTACATCAGCGCTTGGCTGCGTGTGAGAACCGGCATTAATGGAGATATTTATTCGATTGTACACTAGACTTTCGCGTTGGTGGCGGGAGATCGTGGCGTCACTTTGAAGCATAGTTCGAGCACGCACGCGCTGGGTCTGTAATTCGCAGCGAACGGTCTACTAAAATCTAATATTGCGCTGGTCTGCTGTCAACAGATCGCATGTTGTATGTGAACCATTGTATCACTTATGCAGCCTATTTGTTAATTTATTATGCATGTGTTATAACTTATATATCATATATTTGTCAAGCGATTGGGTATTTACGCTGCCCTGTTAATAATAATCCAAATTCCTCGCAAACAGGCAAGAAGCTGCCGGTGCCCCAATAAACGGTGCTGGGACCACGACCGGCTTGGACAGACGTCCCAGTGTCCAAGCCATCGTTGACGCAAGTGCACTCTTCAGAATTTGGCATTATCGTGGATTCTACCGCCCAGGAAGTTCGACTTCAGTCATCCTTGAATGCGATGTGTATCTACGAGGCAATAAAGCTGCGTTTAACCTGAACTCCACAATTTCGTTTCGGAAATTTGTGGCTCGGAACCAAATATAAAGGATAAACCTTTAGTCCCAGAGGTCTAAATCCAAGGACGCAACGTTTAGACCCAGGGCTCCAAGTGCAAGGGCCTAACAGTTGGTCCTCGGGTTCATTTGAAACGGTGTAACAGTTAGTCCCAGGGGTCCAAGTGCAAGGGCCTAACAGTTCGTCCTCGGGGTTCAATTGAAACGGTGTAAGAGTTGGTCCCAGGGGACCAAGTGCAAGGGCCTAACAGTTAGTCCTCGAGGTGCATTTGAAACGGTGTAACAGTTCGTCCCAACGGTGCTAGTGCGAGGGACTATTTGACAGGGCGCAACAGTTGCTCCCGTTACAGTTGCTCCCCTAGGGGACTAATGGTGGTGGCAGCGCATTTGGTCCCCCGAAAGACTAAGTCGCGCTCCCTTTTTTCTTAGAGTATAGACTTAGCGGAAATATTAACGTCGCATGACTCCAACATTACTTCAATTTCCTGCCAAGTTTTGTGGGGCGATTACGCCGAAAGCGAGTCCGCGAAATGCGGAAACAGGTGCCTAAGAGCTGCGCTCAAAAAACTAAATGTCTCAGGTGAAATAAAGTGAAAATTAGAGATAAGGCAAAGAAAAGAGAATCTAAGATGCCGTTCTCAGGTCCTTCCTTTTGTCCGTACTCAAATGTTTTATTTTCAAGAAATGTTTATCTCTTTATTCATACCGAAGGAAACCCCCCCAGTTTAAGCATGAATGCAATAAATCAATGCAAACTAGACCCTGTGCACTATAATGCACATGAAAATGAATGTTTTGCCACATAGTCATACATGAGTCGGTGGCTCAGATCTCTAAATATATTTGTAGTAAGGAACATTCTTGAATAAAACTTCTAGCCTTCGAATTCAACAGTTTGAACTTCCATAAGGAACACTGTATGGCAGATATGTTTTTTGTGACACATCAAAAAAGGTACAGCACTCTCACCCTTGCATACCTAACAAGCATTTGCATTTTTTTAGCATGGCATGTGCTATTCTAACGCGCATACTGCCCCCTGCTTTTTATTGGTTCTTACTTAACTCGCACGACAGATTCGATACCTTGAATTCTCACTCGGCATCAACAGTTTTATATATTGATGTAATAGCAAAAGACAAGATGTATGAGCTTGAGTACGGCTGAACAAGCACAGATGTTTGAAAAAAGTACTATCGAAAACTCGAATGTCAAAATAAAAATTAGGTAGAATGTGGATACAATTATGGGTATGGTCATGAATACAGTTAGCAGATACAATATGAAGAATATGTGTTAGACGCACGCTCAAAGAAACCTGTTGGATGTATATTGTTTCAAATTACTTCGCAGAACCCAGCGCTGCAGTCTCAGGTGGAAGTTCGCTGAATGAGTCTACCGAAAATGAGTGTAGACGGAAAAATCAGTTTGATCTGCGACAATGAGCATTACACAAGTTACATGTCATTATTACTGTTACAGTGCCGAATGTTTCAAACTGTCAGTCGCGTCATTCTGTGAGTTCCCTGCGTACATTACAGGGTTTGGCTCTCTCGAATGCTTTGCGAGAAAAATGATGAACTGGAAATATCTAGCGAAGTTCTAGAAAAACTATTTCCAGAATCTTATCTCAGCATCGTAAAGAATATAAAAGGTTTCTAGAGATAACGTTAGTGCAGGAGTTGAGTAAAATAAATACTTTGTTTTGCGAAACCATCTTGCCGTAGTAAGCGTATAAAATTCCCCTAGGTAGAGCTAGTCATTACGGATGATTGTGCCCATTGCATACAATAAAAAATTAATTTGAGACCTACACTATTGATAGACTCAACCAACTCTGAATAAGTGGACCAATTGGCATTAAAGATAGGTCTTACCATGACTGTCTGCAAACATCAACATAATAATTTCCATAAACCTATGTATTTCAAGAAAATACTTGGTGCGAGCTGCTTAAAACACAATAGCACTTTTTAACACTAATAGAAAGCCTGTATTGGGCCACAACTTAAGCAGTTTTCACTTCATTATGAAGTGCAATTACACATATGTGAACCATGAATATAGGCCTGCATTGAATTGTTTTCTTAAGTTGAACGTGCTATGCTCTGTTTACTATATAAATCTTTGCAGAGCTGACAATCTGCAAGTTCCTGTTTTTTTATATATATTTCACATCTCCCGACTGCTGGGTGTGGTAGGTACATAAGATTGATGACACCAACAAAACATGATTATTTAAGAATGTGCTTGGGTATAGCACGAGCAAAGCGATCTGCAGGAAGTTATCTCTGTGACACCGCTGAACCAACATCCACAGGCTTTAAGCTCACATGTTAATGACTCCTTTTTGTAATTGGAACTCCATCCAACCCAAGATTTGAATATGTTTTTTTGCATTTTAGGCTTAGTAGTGATTTTGCTGTTCTATTAATAATTAAGAAGAATACTTATTTCAAGTGGCATACCTAACACCTGGTGGCACAAGGACTCCCCTGTCGTGACGCTGATCGAAAGTCACAGGCAGGGGCATACGCGATGCTCTTGTTTCTGGGATTACCTCCTCCATGGTCCTGGCCAGACCACAGAAGAAGGTTGAGTCCAAGCTTGTGGCCACTAGGATCTCCAGATCTTGAGGCACCCAAGTAGCTTAAAATAAAAACAAATCACAATCAAGTACTTGGCAGAGATACATTAGAATGGCTAGCATATTCTTTCGTGATCAGCACATAAATCCTTTTATTTTAGTCATAGTCACCCCCCAGGTCAAAGCCACGTAAACCTTAAAATGATGGGTACCGAATTAAGGCGAATGATCAAATGCATTCATTTAACCCTTTTTCGCCCCAACCCGAGAGATTTCAGTCAAATATTCACATTCAACTGTAAAGACTATAAAAAAAACTACGACTGCAATGCAGAGCCGTATAGTGGGAGATTTAGCCAGTGGG